AGTGATCCGAGTACAACTACTGCATAGACGTAGCAGATCTCAGCGAGCCTTCAAATACCCTTAGGGTACAGGGACGGTGAAATAGTAATTCATCTGACTCAGTTTTGAAAAACTGGGCGAAATTCGGTGAAAACTCGGTGAAATTCGAACCCACGACAGCAAGGGGAGGGCTTTCATGCAGCCAAATGCTCCATTCAACTGAACTCCGAGGCCCAGTCGGAAGCAAGGAGTTTAGTCACTCTTACGTCAAGTTACCCGCTCAGCCTACTGCAACGCATGTAATACACCAATTCCTCCTGCTTTGTGGGTTCGCATCCCACGGAAGTTGCCGAGTTTTTCACAACTTGGTCACATGGATTATTCAAATTTGCCAAAACCTCCCTACTAGAATATTAGTTTACCTATACTACGAAAGAGGTCAGCATTAGTAAGTGATAGTAAGAGCTTCTGCAGGCTCGCTGGACACAAAGCTGCTAGTCTCTGGACCACCTGGATGATGTTTTAAACTTTATTAAGGGAGATACGTGCGTAACGATGTCGACCATACGGTATTGGAATTAATATGGGCAAATATTCGAGGTCCAGATATAATATTGCTTTCAGCATCACAGAAGAGGAGGAAGGGGCAATTTCTGAGACCAAGTTGTATTTAAGCTGACGTTTCGAAAACATTCTCGCTTGCACCGTCAGAACGTAGTGTCTGTTTTTTCTGAATGTTTTCGAAACGTCAGCTTCAATACAACTTGGTTTCAGGAATCGCCCCTTCTTCCTCTTCCGAGGATGATGAAAGCAATTGTATCGGAATTTCTCTGACTTACTCAGTTCAACACATCAGTAAATCACAGTTATTCATTTGACCCATGTGTGAAAACTTGGCGGCCTCAATGAGATCCAAAACCACCACAGCAAGGTCAGTCCTGATGCGACTAGCATGGCCAGTCTGTGGTCAACATTACACCTTTCTTTCGGTTATCGTGAAAGACGCAGTCGCATGGTGGCCTGTTGAGCCCACACAAGCTTTGGTTTCGATGTGCACCACCATTTTAGGTGGTCTCATATTGTTTTTCATCTTAGTGTTCAGAGATAGGGTCGATTGTATTCACTAGCTCGTGGTGAATTGGTTTAACAAACGAGATCAAGAGGCGACCACTGCACAAGACCACGTCCACATTAGAAAAGTTAGCGAGTTATTTTCTGGAAGGCCTATATTCTTCCACGTAAGCCCTTTCCTTCCCGACTGAGGTCACCGATCTTTTCCCAGTCGAAGCAAAGAACTTAATCAAACCAACAAAAAACATTGTCTGATCTCGGAATACATATGAAACCTCGGAAGGTCAAATTATGGGGGTTGGTCTGGTGGCTAACAATTTTCGGCTGGAAGCGTTAGCACGGTGAAAAATTATTGGATACAGGCATTTGGCATAAACATATGAGGGAAAAAGCTATATAGGCAAAAATAATAGGTTTAAAATTTTAAATGGATCTGCTTGGAATCTTGGAGAGTTGAGAAAACTCGTGCGTTTGCGGTCTGACTTTAAAACACGAGTGCAACTTTTTGAAGGCACGCTCGTTTCTTCTTTTCTTTCGCAAGGCTTACAAGGTTGGCCATGTGGTGAACTTTTAATGCTAAAGTCTGATACACAAGGGAGTTCAGATGATTTTGAGCTAAATGCTTTGGCAGATACGAGTTAACGGTCAGATTGCTGGAGCATTTGACGCCGTCATCTATGAAGACGTTCTGAAAATCGTTATACCG